GGTACTCCTGGATCCCCTGCTTGCTTTCACTTTCAGCCCGGGAATCTCCGTGAAGTCCTAGCTGATAACTAAGGGTTAATGAATAGTCACAGTGATGAGCTCTGGAGGAGCCGTGGCCCAGAGCAGCTGTGGGCTCCTTTGATTAAACCACAGAGGTCCAGAGGATCAGGCCTCAAACCTCCTCCACCACCTGCCAGCTGGCACCTGTGCAGGAGGCGGAACCAGCGCCCACCTCGCAGTGGCTGCAGCTGGCACCTGTGCAGGAGGCGGAACCAGCGCCCACCTCACAGTGGCTGCAGCTGGCACCTGTGCAGGAGGCGGAACCAGCGCCCACCTCACAGTGGCTGCAGGGTCATCTGAGATGTTGACTGTAAAGTGCTGAGCCATTGGGACACTTTTTCCAAGACCTCCTGAGTGCCGGCTGGCCCCTGCAGCAGAGACGAGACCCCTGTGGGGCCTACAGTCCAGTTATGAAGCCAGGGTTCCTGTGTCAGCCAGCACACCCAGTTCTGGAAATGCCAGGACGTGGGTTCAAAAGCTCAAGGACAATGGACTCATTCTGACTGGAGGGATCCAGGGAAGCTTCATGGAGGAAGTGGCGTTTGAAATTGGCACCAAGGATGAAAAGAATTAGACAGGGGGACTGGTGTCTATGTGAAGGAAGGCCAAAGTGCAAAGGCTGCTCTGGGGTGAGGGCGGTCGCCCCTTCCTGAACCGCACGGCTCAGGAGGCTTTGGCAGAAGGTGGGTCTGCACACCCCAGGTGCAAGCTTCCTTTTCTGCACTCCACACCAGGAAGAAGGGCTGTGTGAACTGCTCACCACTGTCTTCCTGGGTCTGCAGCTCTGCGCCTGGCACAGAGATAGGCTCAGTGACGGTTGAAGGAATCAGAGAAATAATGAAATGTGTGTTCATCCTGCAGATGGTGGAGACCCAGCTGAATGGTTAATGTCAGGAAATGACAGATCCAACACCCCTGCTTGGGGCAGTGTGGAGGCCAGCGGAGGAACTGCAGGAGCCTAAAGGAGATGGCGCAGGCCTGGCTCAGGAGAGCTGCCCTTTCAGACAGCGAAGGGTTTGGGAGGAGATGCCCCAGGCAGAGGCTTGGCGGTGTCTGGCACCAAACTTCCCAAAGCAGCTGCCTCTGTGGACTGTGCCTGGCAGGGAGGGAGCCACGCTGTGAGTGCCTCTACACTCTGGCTCCCCGGGGTGGCCGGAGGCAGTGTCTCCCGCCCATGTGGGCCCCCAGCTTGGGGTCCCCAGAGCTCTGCCCTGCTGCTGGCTGCACTGAGAGAGGTGGCCTTTGGAACAGGCCCTGTCCCCTGGGAGCCTTGAGATTCACCTGCCCCCTCAAAACACGCCCATTGGAGCCTCTGGGTGCAGGCTGCCCCTCAAACAGAGAAAACCACCCCCTGTTTAAGACCCAAACCCAAGGAGACGGCCCCTCACGCCCCCTTCTATCTCCTTCTGTCCAGGGCCCCCTGCCTGCTCTGGTCCACCCCGTCCTGATCTCCTCTGCCTGCTCATCTGCGGGCTGTGAGCCAAGGCCTGGGCCTGCCTGTGGGTCAGGGATCCTGGGGCCTGCTTGAGACCATGTACCATATGCTCCTTCAACCAGAAGGCGCTGGAGACCACCCCCACCCGGAGCCCGCCCTGGAGACCACCCCCACCCTGACAGTGGCAGTGCCGGGCAGTGTCAGGCTGAGACCGGATCACCTGCTCCACCGTCCACTCTAAGCAAGCCAAAGCCAGGTGCTGCCAGCCTGCCACGAATTACCAGACGGGTCTCCTGGTGTGGCACACGTGTTATGACCGCGGCTGCTGCCCCCAGCCCAGAGAGCACTTCCGGGTAACAAATCCAGCATCCTGAGGCTTCACTGCTCCCCTGAAGGTTTTCCAAGGTTAAATTTCCTTCACAATGACAGCCTCCTGTCACCTGGGCCCTGGTGACGAAGCCTTCAGAGAGGAAAGGACCCATCCAGGGCATTCACAGTGGGAGTGCTGTCCACCCTCCACCCCTGTCCTGGCCCCCGCAGTGGGGCCACCACCCTGGGTAATGGGATGCCTGAGGTCCTGGAGGAGGAACAGGTGACCCACCTTCGGTGCACAGGGAGCAGCAGGCACCCGATGGCAGCCCCCGCACCCCCCTGCCGGGCTGAAGTTCAGGCTGTCTCATCCCTTGCCAGGAGCTCAGGGCTGAGCTAGGTTAGGGGATGGGTTGAGGGTCTGTTGTCTAGCAGGTTGCCCAGGCCCCACCCAGGCCCCTTAGAAAACACCTGTGAGAGCCCCACAGGCACACAAGGCACTGTCGTGAGCACACCAGTGGGGACAGACGTCCAGGCAGGAGGAAGCAGCCAGACCCCCCCACCAGGGTCACCAGTGGGGTCAGACGTCCAGGCAGGAGGGAGCAGCTAGACCCCCCCCACCAGGGTCACCAGTGGGGACAGACGTCCAGGCAGGAGGGAGCAGTCAGACCCCCCCCCACCAGGGTCACCAGTGGGGACAGACGTCTAGGCAGGAGGGAGCAGTCAGACCCCCACCAGGGTCACCAGTGGGGACAGACACGTCCTAGGCAGGAGGAGCAGCCAGACCCCCCACCAGGGCCACCAGGTGAGCTGGCCACCAGGGTCACCAGTGGGGACAGACGTCTAGGCAGGAGGGAGCAGCCAGACCCCCCCACCAGGGTCACCAGGTGAGCAAGGCTGGGGAACAACGGAGGCGGAGCCCTGCGAATGCCCCGCTCACCGCCCCGCTCACTGCCCCGAGTGTCCGGGCTGTGGTGCAGGCATGGGGACCCAGGTGTGTTCAGGGGTCTCCTTCAGGGCAGGAGACCAAGGTGGGAGTCTGGGGAGGCTAAGGTGTGAGGTGAGAGCAGGTGAGAGTGAGCCCCAGTGAGCATTTTCACATGAAAGGAAACTACAGGGCCAGGTGCAGTGGCTCACGCCTGTAATCCCAGCACTGTGGGAGGCCGAGGCAGGAGAACCACCTGAGGTTGGGAGTTCAAGACCAGCCTGACCAACATGGAGAAACCCCATCTCTACTAAAAAAAATACAAAATTAGCCCAGCGTGGTGGTGCATGCCTGTAATTCCAGCTACTCGGGAGGCTGAGGCAGGAGAATCACTTGAACCCGGGAGGCAGAGGTTATGGTGAGCCAAGATCGCGCCATTGCGCCTGCAGCCTGGGCAACAAGAGCAAAACTCTGCCTCAAAAAAAAAAAAAAAAGAAGAAGAAGAAGAAAGAACAAGAAAAAAAGAAACGACAGAAGGCGAAGAAAGAACCACCCGAGATCACCAGAGGGAACCATGGCCGGAGCCCACCAGGACCGTGGAAGGTCCGTGGTCCACCAGCCTGGCTGGGGCACCTCAGCCCCAGGCCGAGCAGCAAGCAGGGCCGTGCCCTGGTAAAGGAGGGCACAGTCAGCCCCAGACTAAATGCTGCCTTGGTCCTCCTAGCAGGGCTTAAAAGGAAGACCCCGAAGGACCAAACAGCTTCCAAGTAACTTCCTGGAGTCCTGAGCAAAGTGAGTATTTCCAAAAATAGTCAGCACCCAACAAAATTCACAATCCCTGTTCAAAAATCACCAGGCATGCAAGGAAGCAGGAAAATGCAACCCGGAATAGAAGGAGGACCAAACAATGGAGCCGACTCGGAAGTGACAGACGACCGGCAAGGCCGCAGGGCACCGAGGCACCTGCCACCACTGCGCCCAGTGCTCCCAAAGCCGGAGGGCAGGTGGGACATAGGTGGGGGCGTTCTGAGCAAAAACACATGCAGCCGAGCTGGGGTCACCCGTGGGAAGAGGGCGAAACACTTGCACGTGTGTAGAGCAGTCTCTGCAAGGGGCTTTGTGGGCTCCAGGACCAGATGCTGTGAGGACCTCACCAGCGGCGGGGCGGCTGTCTCTGCCCCACCTCACACGCTCAGTGCATGTTAATTTCATCTTGTTTCATTCTCATTGCCATTTTACAGGTTGAGGTTCAGAGAAGTCAGAAGGCTTCCCAAGGCTGCACAGCCAGAAATGGGCACAGCGTCCTGGGGTGAGGCCTCACGCCCTCTGGGCCACCTACCCTCCAGGTCCCACCATCCTCACGAATTCAAGGCAAGGTTCTGGGACCCCAGCCCTCCAGAAAGGGGAAGCCGAGCCAGGAGGCACATCAGAGAGTTCGGGCCCATGAGTTTACCCTGCACTCACGCCCCGACTCGTCCTGCATCCTCTGTTGGGATGTCTGGATTCCAGAGTCCCCACCCCAATTTTCTAACCTTGCCTCAGCCTCGGCTTCTCCCTTTTGGGGTGGGGCAGGGAACCCCAGCAGCAGGCGTGTGAGGGCGGGAGAGGGCGGGAGGTGCCCTACACCTGCCCGCCTGGACACAGGGAGACAGTGAGAGCGCTGTTCCTGCCCCCACTCCCTCATCTGGGCAGGTGCTCCCAGGTACAGGTGCCGAGTCCCACCCAGAGGGGCCCTGCCACACCCGGAGGACTGACAAACCCAGACACAACCGTCTCTTCCCCTGGTCAGGGTCTGGGCAAGGGGCCCTGTGGGCTGCTGCTGTGAGTGTCCGTGCTGCGGCCAGGTGTGTGAGATTGCGTTTCCAACCGGGAGTGATTTGGCTTTGGTTTTGGTTACCTGGAGGGTCTGAGGACAAGCACTAAAGCCCCACCTTTCCGGCTTCCAGCAAGTTGCTGGTTCCACAGCAGCCTCCAGGCCTGACCAGGCTCGGGGGCTCCCACACCTGGGGGCCAGGGTGGGGGTGACAAAGGGCCCCAGGCGACGGCTGAGAGCCTGCCCTGGCGGGCAGCAGAACGGCCACCAGCTCCCACCAGGCCCTGGCAGCATGAGTGATGGCAGGCCCAGCGATAAGAAACTAATAATTTATGCTTCCAGCTCCCGGGGCCGGCGCCGAGGGAAGGCTGGGCCACAGCCTCCCCCGCACTGAGCGGCCGCAGTCCTTTATTGCACAAATTATTAACGACCAGAGAATGAATGACTCTGTAATCAGATCAGGCTGCCAGCACTTTTCATTGCGTTTATTTGTATAAATTCTGAAGTCAGGGTCTGCCCTAAGCTCAGCCTCGTGCTGGCTGGGCACCCAGGCCCCCACCCAGAGCGAGCACTGGTCCCTCGCCCTACCCATGGGTTCCAGAGGACAGAGGGCTCAGGAAGGGGTGCAGGGAACTGCTCGGAGCCAGAAGCCGAGTTCATGGGCACCAAAGCGGCCCTGGGCCAGGGTCAGAGCTCTGTCCTTGAACCTGCCTCAGGGCAGGCTCCCAACTGTCCTCAGAATCAGGGGCGCCCAGGGTTTGGCAGCTGAAGGGGGGTGGGTCTGAGACCAGGAGAAGGCTCCCCAGCCCTGAGGGAGCCCTCATCACCCCTCTGCTCTCCTCCATCCAGGAGCCATCCCAGGGTTGCCCCAGGCCAGCTGGCTCTCCTACCTCCATCCCGTGGCCTTCCCTGGAGCCCCAGGCTGGTCTCCCACCTGCCCCCTCCTTTTCTGGTCTTGCCTGGTCTTGGCCCAGGGGCTCTGGCTGTGGTTTTCTGTGCAGCGCCTCAAGTGAGCCTGACGCGGGTCCTCTCCTGAGCCCCCGTTTAATCTCATTGACCTCTCGTTACGCTACAGCGCATAAATTCAGATTTGGAGATCTTATGTTCCATCATAAATTGGGCTGGCAGACTTCCGATCAACAAGATAAAGCTGTCTTCCGAGGTGGGTGTTTTATTAGTCCCAGTCCCAGTGCCGCAGGTGGGGGCTGGGGAGTGCACGAGGGAGGGGCCTCTGCTTGGGAGCCTTCCTGCCTGGGCGAGGGGCTGAGTCCCTCCTGCCGCCCAGGCTGGGCCCCAGGTACCTGGTGAAGAAAGGGACCCTGGCATTGCCGCCTTCCCCTGCACCTTGGGCTCAAGCCTGGCCGCTGCCCTTGGGCTCTTCATAGGATCTCAGCCAATCCCTGCCGCCCAGCCTCGCCCACCCGCTTCTGGGGCCACCCCCGCGGTCATGCAGGGCTGTGCAGTGTGGGGCTCCTGTTCTCATTCAGCCACCTGCAGGGTCACCCCAGTGTGATCCCTCAGCAGCCACACAGAAGACAGATGGTCCATTAGGAGACTCAGAAACAGAGAAGCCTCACGCCAGGTCCACAGAGGCGCCCATGCCCGCCAAAAGGATGCCACGCACTCACCCTGCCCTCTGGGGAACACACTGGGAGTTCAGGACATCACCTTGGATGGGGTGAGGGTCCGTCCATGACCTCAGAAAGTCAGTCTGGAGCTGGACTTGACATGGGAAACAGTAAAACACCTGAGCTTGCCGCCCTGAAAATCCCTGATGTGACACAGAAATCAGTGTTGACAGAGCACCTGCTGCCCCCAGTGACCCTGCCAGTGGGCTCTCAACCCACCTACCCCTTCTGCAGCAGCCGGTCACAGCTGTGGTCCTGCTGGGGCACATGGGGATGAGATCCTAAAATACACAGCAACTGCACAGTGGAACCCTGCATACCCCGTTTGGGTACAAGGAAACCCAGCGCAGCTCACGCGTGGGTATCCTCCGCTGTGTTAGCGTCCTGGCCCTCATACAGCACCCAGGCCTTGGGGCAAGGCCGTGTGCACACACCATGGGATCTGAGTGTGCACTGGGGCCTGTGCCTGAGCTGCTGCTCCCCGGCCACTGGTGTCAGGATCTCCAGGACCCCCATGAGTGGTCAGTGGAGCAGAGATGGCACAGACGCCAGCGACCTGGGTCACTCTCTACCTGGGATGTGGGACCCCAGAGGCCACACCATGGGTTTGCATCTGCCTCTTCACGCAGGAGCAGCTGCGACCCCTGCCTGCCCCATGAGGCTCTGTCACAGGGGACCTCTGTGGCATCCCGTGCTGCAGGCAGGGCCTTCGGACGGATGCCACGCCACCGTCCGTGCCTCCTGAGGCTGGCCTCCCTTTGCACTGGGCAACGTCTGCTGAAGATAAGGATGTCTTCACTGGGCCAGGCCTGGAGTTCTCCCAGGTTGTGAGCTCTTCTCCCTCTGATGAAGAGGATACCTGTGGTCCAACTCCTACAAAGCACCGGGGACAAGAAGGCAGGCAGAGTCCCACCTGGGCAGGTGGTAGGAGTGGAGGGAGCAGGCAGGCAGCAGGGCTGCCCAGGGCTAGGAGGCTGAGCTGCCCTGGGCGAACCCCAGAGCCCACCCAGGGCTATACCCAGTCTGGCTGCGAGCAGGGCCCACCCTCCCCTGGACACAGTGGAGGACCCCATGTATGTGGTCTTCACTGCCTGAGCACCTGTCTCATGCCAGGCGTGTGAGATTGTTGGTGAATTAACAAAAGCCCTGCTCTCAGGGGGCTCCCATCCCAGCACATACACAGTCACATCTGGGGTCCAGCCTGGACCCCCCATGCAGTTGGAAAGTGTCTCAGAGCTGGGTCTGAGAACAGCAACTTCCAGCCACCACACCCCGCCCCTCCCCAGCTGCCCTGGGCTCCGGCTTCTTGCACCTGAGGATGTCTGTGCAGGGCTCCCAGCTGGTGCCCCTCTCCTCTGAAGCTCGGGGGTCAGTGCAGCCTGGCATCCTCATCGGGCCTGTTATGCGGGTTCTGGTCTCTCTGTGATCACAGACCTGCCAAGCCCACCAGCTAGTCAATGTGGAGCCAGCACAGCAGGAGCCCGACCTGCTAGGGCCCTCAGAACGAGGATCGTGGCCCCTGAGGCCTTCACACAGGATCTGTGCTGAGAGTGAGCTGATGTGGACGGCGGCACCGTGGCCACGGCAGAGGCACCATCCCTCCACCCTTACTCACGTAGGGATCCGCTCTTCTCTCACACTGGGCCCTGCTGGCACATTCCAGATGTGGGGGACGGGCCAGAGCCCAAGGCCTGCGTGCTGGGCCCTGGCTCTGCACCCGGCTCCCAGCGTCTCCCTGGCCCGATGTCAGAGAGGGTGCCACAGCAGTGCTTCGGGGGCTCCTGCCATAAGGGCTGAGGGCTAAGGACCACCTAGGCCCACGTGCACCCAGCAGGCGGCTGCTGCATCCTCTGATCCCCTCCACAACCCAGGCCAGGTCCAGGCTGCAGGCTGGCAGCGTTGGCAGGGGGAGGACAGGGAGGAATTGGCCGAGTGCATTCACTGGGACAGACCCTCCCGCTTCCTGGGGGCTCTGGAGAATTCTATTGCTTCCCTTTGCTCAGCCTCAAGGTGCTGGGGCTTCTGCGTCATTTACAGAGGAATTGGCTGGGATGTGCCGGGCCTAGCACTGTCTCCGGTGTGCGTGTCAGCACTCTGGTGACACGGCAGGTGAGGACCATGGCACCACCCCTGTGATCTGGCAGTCAGAGCCCACCTGTGTGTGTCTGCAGGAGCATCCCTGACCACACACCATGGGAGGGCAGGGAAGGGTCCCTCGGGCCCCACCCCTTTGTTCTTTCAGTGGTAAAGATTCAGGTAGGTGGACAGACTGGACTTGGAAACACCTTCTTATGTCCTCAAAACGATGTGGTGCGCAGCCAGCTCACGGCACCCAAAGGCGCGGGCAGGTTCCAGCGCAGCAGCTCCTCCTGTCTGACCAGGAGCAGGTGCATTCCTGAGGTCCTGGCTGCTTGTGCAGGAGCATCTGAGGGAGTGCAGCTGATTTACCACAACCCCTGACCTCCTGCATTAGCCTTTCCATCCAACAGCACCGGGACTGAGCCCTGGCACTGGGCAGGCCACCTTGGCTGGGGATCATGTGTGCCTGGGTCTGTGCGGTGCGGGTGCCCGCAGGCCCTGGGTCTGTGTTGCGCACCGGCCTTGGAGGGCAGTGCACATCCTGTCTGCACCATTGTCCCTGTGGCCATGGGAGGGTCTGTCTGTGCTGAGTGTCGTGCGAGTGAGTCTGGAGCTGCTGCGCCACACACAGGCATGCAGGGTGTGGGCACACCTGTGCTTCTGAGCACGCGTGCCCTTGCTGGAGGCCAGGCACACACACAGCTGTGCATCCTTGGCCCGAGGTCAGCTGTGCCACACCTGCGGGCTTCGGGATCTTTTCCGCGTATCTCCCTCCATCACCAGAAGTAAACTCAGGACTGAGGCTGACGGGCTGGCCTGAGCACTGCTCACCTGCACCTCCTGGCTGCACCTGTGGCCCCGGACTCGGACTCGGCTTCCCCATCTCTCTCCTCCCCACCCCACCTCTGGGTCCTCTCTGGCTGGGGCTGTACCACATCTGGGCTCAATCAATGGTTGACTGATTGATGAGGGGATGGATGAGAGGCGCTCTAACAGAAATGCTGGGGAGCCTGGGCGGGCACTCCCGGATGGTGGAGGCGGCGTGTGGGCTGGGGCAGCGGCCCCTGGCGCCCCCACACTCCCCCAGGACGTCTGGGGTCACCGTCTGCTCCTGCAGCCCCAGGGTTATTTATGACCTCCTCCCTCTGGTGGCGGGAGGCAGCGGCTCCAGCCTCAGCCCAGTGTCGGAGGGGCCCCAGCAGGGGGACCCGGAGCAGCGACAGAAGCACCAAGGCCCAGGCAGGCGGGGCTCGGTGGGCAGGAGGAGGGGCAGTGGAGTCCACACCACCACGTCCCTGCCTTGCTCAGGATGATTCTAGCAACAAAACTCCATTCTTCTGGCCTCTGCCGCCGGCCTGAGGAGTGCAGGGGAGACTGGGACCCAGGTGTCCCAGACCAAGACAGGTGTGTGAGTGGACACGGGACACAGGTGTGCGAGTGGAGGACACGGGACAGGTGTGAGCGAGTGGCCACATCACACAGATGTGCAAGCAGACACAGGACACGCAACACAGGTGCGCAAGTGAAGAAGGGAGAGGTGTGAGCCAGCGGACATAGGTGAGTGAGTGGACACATCACACAAGTGCGTGAGCAAACACAGGACACGGGACACAGGTGCATGAGTGAACTCGGGACAGGTGTGAACCAGTGGACACGAGACACAGCTGTGAGCGAGTGGATACAGCACATGTGTGAGTGGGCGCGGACAGTACATGTGTGAGCGAGTGGACACAACACAGATGTGAGAGTGGACACGAGATACAGGTGTGGGAGTGGACACAGTGTGCTAGTGGACACGGGTGGGAGTGGACACAGAACAGGTGTGAGCATGGACACGGACACGGGTGTGGGCATGGGACACAGGTGTGTGTGAGTGGACACAGGATATGAGTGTGTGAGTGGACAGGACCAAGGAAGGGGCACAGCCCCACGGAGAAGGATGAGGCTGGGGGTGAGGAGGCCTGGTCATGTGGGAAAGTGGCCTCCGAACAGGTACCTGTTTCCCAGGAAGACAAGGAGGTGGTGGGGAAGGCCTCCTCATCCAGCCCCTGGAGGGGCCTCCAGAACATCAGGGAGTGGACGGTGAGGATGGGGGGTGCCTCCAGCTTTGGACCCAGTCAGGGTCTTTTCGGGAAGACACCCTGGTCCTCCAGAGACAGGTGGAGCCAGACTGTGGGCTGGAGGTTAGGCTGCAGGGCCCGGGTGGGCTCCCACACCCAGCCAGAAACCCAGGGCCAGCCCCAGGCCCCTCCTTAACCGCACTGCGGGCCTGAGCATGGTGAGACACCGGTGAACAGGGGAGGGCTCTTGGAAAGGAAAGCAGGCCCCTCTGCTGGCCCAGGTCAGAGGAGAGCCTGGCCCAAGGGCCTCAGACCCAGAGAGGCACTGCCTTGCGGACCTGCGCCTCCCCAGCCTCCCTCCCCAAATCGCTGTGTGAGCATCAGGGAGTCAGGTGCAGGCGAACCTAGAAGGAGAGTGAGGTGCAGGTGAATCTAGTAGCCTGCACAGGGGCAGTAGGGTCAGGGCTGCAGACAGTGGGCGCTCACGGTCAGTCCACATGGCCTCCAGCTGGCCCCAGGAGTGGACTTTCCACATGGCATCGGACCTGAGAGAAGACACAGACTTCAGGGGAGGAAGGCACAGGAACTTGCTGGCAGCCACGTCTGGGGTCAGGGATGCAGAGAGGTTGATAGCACCAAGGGTGGCCATGTAAGGAAGGGTCACTCACAGCCACACCCACACTCCCACCTGGCCCCTCAGACCCCAAAAGACCAAGGAGCCCCCACAGAAAGGGGCCAGGATGGGAGGGGAGGCTTCCGGGCATGCTCCTTGTCTGAGCAGAGCACCACTGGCTCAGATCTCACTCCGCGGGTAGGCTGGGGGGCCAGCAGAAGCCTCTGGTGAGATAAGGTGAGGGAGCCCAGCGTGGTCACCCCGGGTCAGGTTTACGCTCTGGGGGGCTGGTCTGGGAGGAGGTGGTGGTGTGGGAGGGCGTGCACCCTGCCAGCCCGCTGTCCCCCACGCCCACCCTGCCTAACGCCTTCCTGCTGGGGGCTGTGGGGTGACAGGAAGCTCTTGCCCCACCCCATGGCCCTGGCGCCGTCCTGGCGTCCTGGCGTGAGACACTGCGCATTTGAAACAGCTGTGTGACTTCAGGAGCGTTACTTGACCTTTCTGTCTCAGCCTCCTCACCTGCAAAACACTAAAAAGGAACTCGGTGGCTCAGGCGAACTCACTCTTGTGAAGTGCACAGGAAGGGGCACGAACGCGCGGGAAGGTGCTACCCTGTCACTCACAGAACACTCTGCCCAGGCGGCACACTACAAATCCACAGCCTGGTTCCCTGCAGGTGCAGAGACCACCACGCCCTCCCGGACACCAACGCCCACCATCAGATTCGCTGTGCAAAGCCCCAGAGCCGCGGGCGCAGGCTCACACCGCGGCGAGCAGCCCCCAGCTCCCTCCCTCCGAGAGGAGCCCGGTCCGCGACCGGCCCAGCCCATCCCAGGCCCGCGCGGAGTCCCGGATTCCAGCCGCTCCCAGTGACTCGGTACTCGGGATAGCGCCGGGGGCCGCAGCCCTGTCCCGCTGCCGCTGCCGGATGCCCCGAGTCGGCCGTCACGCACCCCCCGCGGGAGCCCGCGCCGCCCGCCGCGCCGGGGCCGTTTAAATGGGCCAAGTTGTGGCGGCGGCGGCGGCGGCGGAGTCTCCCAAGTCCCCGCCGGGCGGGCGCGCGCCAGTGGTGCACGGCTGACGCGGCCCGGGCGGCGGGGCGGGGGCTTGGGACCCCCGGGCGGGGCGGGGACTCCGCGGCTCCTCGCTGCCGGGCTCGGCCTGGAGGGTGGGTCGGCGAGCCGGACGCGGGTCTTCCCCGGGCGCGGGCGCAGGTGGCCGAGGCGCGGGACTCCGGACACCCCGCGGAGCCCCAAGGCCCGGGAGCCGCGGCGCTCGGCGAGTTGATCCGGGATCGGGAGCGGCTCCGGCAGCTCCATGTCTCGGGCCGCCGAGGCCCCGCCGGCCGTCTGGGCAGCAGTCCGGGGAGGCCTGGCGGGCGGCGCGGAGGCGGCGGCTGCAGGCGCCGGGGCGCAGTAGCGGACGGGGTGGGCGCGCGGCCAGGCGCCTCCCCGGCCCCCGCGACCCAACTCCGCCCGGGCCGGAGTAAGTTGCTGCCGCCGGCGGAGAGCGGGGCTGCGAAGCCACCGGGGCGCCATGCCGGCGGTCAAGAAGGAGTTCCCGGGCCGCGAGGACCTGGCCCTGGCTCTGGCCACGTTCCACCCGACCCTGGCCGCGCTGCCGCTGCCGCCGCTGCCGGGCTACCTGGCGCCACTGCCCGCGGCGGCGGCCCTCCCCCCGGCCGCCTCTTTGCCCGCCTCGGCCGCCGGCTACGAGGCTCTGCTGGCCCCGCCGCTCCGCCCCCCGCGCGCCTACCTCAGCCTGCACGAGGCCGCCCCGCACTTGCACCTGCCCAGGGACCCGCTGGCCCTCGAGCGCTTCTCGGCCACCGCGGCCGCGGCCCCGGATTTCCAGCCGCTGCTGGACAACGGCGAGCCGTGCATCGAGGTGGAGTGCGGCGCCAACCGCGCGCTGCTCTACGTGCGCAAACTCTGCCAGGGCAGCAAGGGCCCGTCCATCCGCCACCGCGGCGAGTGGCTCACGCCCAACGAGTTCCAGTTCGTCAGCGGCCGCGAGACGGCCAAGGACTGGAAGCGCAGCATCCGCCACAAAGGTGCCGCCGCCCCTCCCTTCGCTGCCGGGACCCGCGGGCCCCGACCCCACCCCAACCCGACTCTGACACCCGTGGGGGCGCGGGCCGCCGCCGTCCCTCCCTTCGCTCCCCGGGGACCTGCGGGCCCCGACCCCACCCCCTACCCGACTCGGACACCCGGGAGCCTCCGGCTCGGCCGAGGGGGCGCTGCAGCTCCAGGGCTGCGCGGGGACACACCCGCCGCGCGCGGAGGCCTCGGTGGACCCGGGCAGAGCGCCCCCCGCTGCACCTCCCTCCAGCTTGGGCCACAGCGCTTGGGGCTCGCGGGCCGCCCCCTCCGCTCGGAAGGTCTCTGCAAGGCTCCTGGGCCTGAAGGCCCAAAACAAGTTTACGGGAACTCGAGAGAGCCGGCAGGAGGCGGGTTGGGAGGGCGCGGAGCCCCGGGTTGGGGGGCGCGGAGCCCCAAGTTGGGGGGCATAGAGGGGCGCACGTGCGGCCGGGTGCGAGCGCGCGGCGCGGGAGGCTAAGGGGCGGGGCGGGGCGCGAGCGGAGCCCGAGCGGCGGTGCCAGGACACGCCGCCTGTTTTGGCGCCTGCGGGCGCCTGGCCCCGAGGGTGCGACGCGGGGGCGCCTGAGCCGGGACACGGGGCGAGGTGAGCGCCAGGCGCCGCGAGGAGTTAAAAAGTTCGGGACCTGAGCGGTGCATGGCTCCGCGGTGGCCGCCGCCTCCTGCCGCGCAGGCCGAGGGTCCCGACGGCGCCGCTCACCGCTCCGGGACTCAGCCTTTCTGGTCCCGGTCTGCGGCTCCCTCGGGACCCGGGAAAGGGTGGAGCGCGGGAGGAGGGGCGCCGGGTGGGGACGCCCAGGCCCTTCGTCGGGGGAGGGCGCTGCTCCCGGACTGGAGGTGCAGAGCCCAGCAGATCCCTGCCGCGTTCGCGAGGGTGGGGCGGGAAGCGGGCTGGGAAGTCGGGCCGAGGTGGGTGTGGGGGGTCGGGGTGCATTTCGCCCAGGAGACGGGAAGGGGGGACTGGCCCTGCCGCCGACTGCGCCCAGAAGCGTGCCGCGCCCTCACAGGGTCTGCCTCGCTTCTGCTCGCAGGGAAGAGTCTGAAGACGCTTATGTCCAAGGGGATCCTGCAGGTGCATCCTCCGATCTGCGACTGCCCGGGCTGCCGAATCTCCTCCCCGGTGGTGAGATGCGGGGCTCGGTTGGGGCTGGGAGTTACTCCCCCTGCGGAGCTTGTCCCTGCGGTTTTCAGGATCGAGAGTCCTCACCTCACCCCTGTGGGTGTGCTGGAGGGAGCCTTCGCAGGGCGGAGGGAAGGGGCTTTACTTCGTGTTCTCCCAGCCCTTGTACCTGGACAGGGGGAGGAGTCCTTGGGCACCCGAGCCCCCTCCCAGTGTGGAGACAGGGGGGCCGTGCCTGTCCTAGAGCCTCCCCTTGGGTGCCTTGGAGCTGCTTCTCCTCGAGTCCTGGGTCAGGGTCTTCTCTCTGGGAGGAGTAATTCAACGTGGGCCTGGCACTGTGCCCTGTCACAGCTTGGGGGTCACCGTGTTCTCTGGCCCAGCTGGTGAGGTGTGATTCAGGGTATGACAGCATTTTGGGGAGCTGCAGGCTTGGGTGTGAGTGCCTTGTGTCTCTGGGGTGCTGAAGGCCAGGGTGCAAGGGCCTGGATGTCGAAGCGTGTCCTAGGGACACAGAGGCTAGCCAGGGACAGCCTTTGCAGTGTGGGCCTTTGGTGTCCAGAGAACTGGAGCTGGAGGCTGGTTCAAGGCCCCAACCCAGGGTAGACAGCTATGGAAACCCTCACTGAGGGAGCAGGCAGGAGAGACTGGGTGGCTGGGAGCTCCCTTCTGCTCAGGGAGGCACCTGCACCCCCCACCCAGCCTCCAGACCCCTAGTTGGGCAGCAAGGGTTGGCGGATTGATGTGAAAACGAAGATTGCCTGTTGGGAAGGACCAATTTGGAGCCAATTAGGGCCATGGCTGCTGGGGGTAGGGGCTGCAATTCCTGGTACACTCAGGAGCCCCTTCTTCCAGGAAGGGGTGGGAGAGGCACAGGTGCAAAGTGGGCCTGAGTGGCCCACCTCTGCTTGCCTGCTTCAGGCCTAAGGTAGGATGGGGGAGGGGATACCCCAGGGGCCTGTGAGCTGCGAGTGCTTGGTAGCCTGGGCGCTGGGAAGCTGCAGACACACCTGTGAAGACAGCTGGTCCCTCAGACATACAGCATTTGGGCAGGGGAAGGGGACACAGCTGCACTTCACCCGTGTGCCCACCTGACGCACAGTCTGACACGGATCTGCACGCACAGGCAGGCAGCTCACAGAGTTCCCAGGCAAGTGTGCAGACAGCTGGCAGCCCCCTGCCTGCTGTCACAGACCTACCCAGGGCAAGAGGCCCAGTTCCCTCCTTTCAAGCAGCTGGTGCTGGAGAGGGCTCCTCTGGGCAGCCCACTGGCTAGCTAGCCTTGGGTCTCTGTTTGGATGGGAGCGGCCCCCTTGAGGCCTCCCACAGGAGTGGGGAGCAGGCAGCCTGAGCCCAGCATCAGTCTCTTCTGACACTGCTTCAGTGGGCGTGCATCTCTTCCCAACCCAGGGCCACAGCCAGGAGATGCCCCCCCACCTGGGGCTCCCAGGTTCCTGCCCTGCGTGAGGGATGGCTCAGATCCAGGCCTGCCTCTGCCAGTCCCTCCCAGGCCTGTCCCCCACCTTTCCCCTAGGAAGCAGCTCCAGTGGCCCCTTCTTTCCAGCCCCCACGTTTCTCACTCAGAGGCTGTCTCCCCCAAGCCCCATGCCAGGTCCACAGGTGTGTGCACCTCATGGTCACGGAAACTCCAGGGCAGAATATGAGTGTGTATGTGCCTTGGGGACCCTGCACAGGGGCCCTGCAGGCCAAGCACCTCCCAAGAGGAGGTGCTGTCAGAGGCTGAGTTTTCAGATCTGTGTGCTGTGGAACTGGGGTGGGCTGGCCGAGGTCTGTAGTGTGGAGGAGGTATGTTCTGTCCTTGGGCAGGGCGGGTGCCAGGGAAGCTGTCCTGGTCCTCAGCACCTCCATCAGCCACCCCAGACCTGCCCTCCAGGTGCCTTGGGGTGTGGCTGGGGTGCCAGTGTGTCCCCACACCCGACTCTGTGCATCACGGGGCTGAGGCTGGCATACAGCCTGGGCTCCATTTCCAGCCAGCCGGCCCTGGCCTCCTTCCAAGGGGCAGTCTTCTGGTCCTTGCTTCCCTCTCTTCCCCATCCCACAGACAAGAAGCAGAGAGAAAAGCATTGTGTCTTCTTCTCAAAAGAAGGGAGGTAGGAGGCTGGGTGCAGTGGCTCACGCCTGTAATCTCAGCACTTTGGGAGGCAGAGGCGGGCGGATCATGAGGTCAGGAGATCGAGACCATCCTGGCTAACATGGTGAAACCCCGTCTCTACTAAAAGTACAAAAAATTAGCCGGGTGTGGTGGCGGGCACCTGTAGTCCCAGCTACTCAGGAGACTGAGGCAGGAGAACGGCGTGAACCCGGGACGTGGAGCTTGCAGTGAGCCGAGATTGCACCACTGCACTCCAGCCTGGGTGACAGAGCGAGACTCCCTCTCAAAAAAAAAAAAAAAAAAGAAGGGAGGTGGGAGAGGAGAGGCTGTCAGAGTCCCTAAGCCCTGGTGCTTGGGCTGCAGAAGGGCAGAGCTGAGTGAGACTTCCCAGCACAGCACACTCCGGACAGGCTGTGGCTGCTGAAGTGAGCCCCGAGCTCCAGCTGACACGCGGAGGCCTGGGCAGACAGGCACTGCACCTACAGCCTTGGCCGCACGCTGTGGTCATTGGTGTTGGGGGCAGCCTAGGGCCAGGGCAGGGTCTTAGCAGGGGCCTTGGACCCCATGCCCCACCCCCTGCCCAGCAGTGCTGGGTTTTCCCACTGAGCTGTTGTGGAGAGAAAGGAGGGGACTCAGCGCAGGCCCAGTGGCCAGTGAGGGGAGACGCGGCTCTGGGACAGGGGCTTCCGCCTGGGTTGGGGGATGCTCCAGCTTTCAGACCCTTGAGGAGGGGGCACTGCCCAAACTGAGCTGGTGCTGTGGCTGTGTGTTTGAAGGTGATGGTGGTTCTAGGTCTGAGGAGGACACCCTCCTAACACCTTCATCCCCAAGCTCCAGGCTGTGTTTTGGCATTGGGAGGGAGGAAGTCCAAGGAGGCCCCGGTGACTGAACGGAGGAGAGGGAGTCAGTTAGATGCTCTCAAGGGCTCTGCCACCTCCTGGGGCCAGCAGCCTGTTATTACATTTTAAAAAGCCTCCCGCCCACTGGAAAATCATCAATAACTTCTCTTTTTCCCCTGGGGGTGGCAGGACCTAAAAACACTGGAGGAGTCCAGAAGTGCCTGGGGCTGGGCCAGAGCGAGTGTGCTGTGCAGGGTGGTACAGGCGTGTCTGCCGCGTGTGTGCGTGAGCTTGGGGCTCGGCTGTGCTCTGCAGGGACCACACCGGGCACGTCTGTGCTCCCACCCGAGGCACCCACCGCTCCACACGCTCATTCCGTGGGTGCAAGGGAGATGGGAGGAAGAAGCCACGTGAAAGATGCCAGGCAGGGCTGGTGGAACAGAGGACCTGGGCTGGTCAGGGCTCCTCGTCTGGTGACCTGTGAGCCCCAGGCCTGCAGTCGGCAAGGGTTCAGCTCAGACAGTTGCCAGTTGCCTTGCGACCGGCTGCAGCTGCCCCTGAGCTGGGCTGTGCACGGCGCTGATGAAACAGAAAAGGGCATTCGCTTGTCAACATTGGCATTGGTGGCAGGGTGTGGTGGGGCGAAAGTTCACAAAATATGGGTGGGACTGGCAGCCAGATACACGGAGGTAACGTGTGCACTTGAGTACACGCCCCCTAGAACCAGCCCCAGACCACAAGCAGATCCCAGGAGACACTCGGGGCCCCTAAGAAGGGAGCTGGGAGTGAGGGGCACACAAGCCCGGGACGGGGGCCCCGACTCGCCCTGGAGTTGGCCAGGACCCTCCAGCATTCTCAAGGGCTGTGGTGGGGTGGGCAGAGGAGGGCTGAGCCAGTGGGCGTCGTCTGTAGGGGGATGCCCAACTGAGGCCCCATCTCTCAGCTCTCCTCTGGGTCTCTGGCCAGCTGTGGCTCCTGCTGGCCCCAGGCCCATCCTGGAGGTGGGTGGAGGGAGGATGGCTGCTCCGAGGGCACCTCCGCTGTGCCTGGGGCTGGGCCTGGGGTGCGAGGCCAGGGCAGACCCCCGGGAGACGCAACGGCCCGGTCCAGCCTCACCTTCCTGTCCTCCTGCCCCACCAGAACCGGGGGCGGCTGGCAGACAAGAGGACAGTCGCCCTGCCTGCTGCCCGGAGCCTGAAGAAGGAGCGGACTCCCAGCTTCTCTGCCAGCGATGGTGACAGCGACGGGAGTGGTCCCACCTGTGGGCGGCGGCCAGGCTTGAAGCAGGAGGATGGCCCGCACATCCGTATCATGAAGAGAAGGTACTTGGACCAGGGCCAGACAGGAAGGCACAAGGCTCAGATGGGGCTGGAGCTTCCGGCCTTCAGCTGCTCAGATGAGAGCGTCCACACTGGCCTCCCACACTTCCCTCGGATGCTGGTCTTTTTGGGGTCCTGTGTGGGTCGCAGGCAGGAGCTGTTTCTTCATCTGCCCCGTCTGGTGTCCCCTCCCACCTCTGCTGTGCGGCGCTCACTTGCAGGAGGCAGGTTGGCAGCAGTTGGGACCCAGAGGTCTACACCTGCCTGGGCCGACGCTCCAGCTACCCCTGCTGACTGGGTCCCAGTCTGGCCAGAGCAGCTCCAGCAACGAGGAGCTCCATTCAGGCTCATGACTGACTGTGCGGAAGCAGCCTCGGCCCCTACCTGCTGTAGAACGCCAGGGCTCCTCTGAGTGCAACAAGCCGGAGGGAGAAGGGGTCTCGGTTCTGTTCTTCCTGACGTCTGTGTCTGCTGAGGCCAGGAACTGGCCCATGGGCCTCTCCTGGTAGGAGACCCCAGCACGTTGAGCCAGTAGCAGATGGTGCTGGGCACGGCAGCCGCCCTCGTTCACTGCCCAGGGCTGTGGCCCAGCAGGACACTGACCCGAGACAGGTCTGCTGTCCTGAGGCTGGGGTCAGGGGCCTCCAGAGCAACATGGACCTTCTGCTTCCCTTCCTGCAGAGTCCACACCCACTGGGACCTGAACATCTCTTTCCGAGAGACGTCCTGCAGGTAGGAGCCATGCTGTGCGTGCGTAAGAGGGGGCCGTGACTCCCCTCCCTCCCTCCCTCCCTCCCCTGCCCGTGGCCTGCTGTCTGCTGTCCCCTGTCTCAGATAGTGTGAGCTGATGCTGGCTGAGTGTCTGCCAGGTTTGACGTGTGCTGCAAGGTTGTCCCCCAGCCCGGGAGGCAGACAATGTCACACCCAGTTGAGACCGAGGGACCCCAGGCCCAGTCAGAGGTAGATGTCGGCAGCAGCAGAGGTGTGAGTTCTGGGTAACCCGGCCCTAGAGTTAGCGTGCACTTCCTCCCATGTGAGACTGGCCATTTGGGCCCAAAAATGAGGCTGTCACCTCCCCCTTCCCACCCTGCTACAGACCCACCAGGAGGTGAGAATGGTGTGTGAGTGGGGCCTTGAAGGATGTGTAGGAGCTCACTAAGGCGAGGGGATGTCTGCAGAGAGTGGAGGAACAGGGAAGGGCATGTAGGAGGGAGGAGGAGTGAACCTGGCAGCTGTGGCTCAATTGGATGCTGAAGGCTCGCAGTTGCTGGGCCTGTGGGCGCTGTCCTCTAGGCGGGGAAGTTCTTGAGCAGGGCAATGACCAGGTGTGCGTTTGGAGAAGGTCCCTCTGGAGGCCCTCCTGGCAGACGGGGGATTGGATTTAGGCTGTGGAAACAGGATAGTAGGGGGTGCGATTCCAGGATGTGGGAAGGAGATGAAAATGAAGAGCCCCAGGGAAGAGGTCAAGGCAGTTGGGGATCCCGAGTTCCTGGCTCCGGGGGAAGCGGGTGGTCAGTCTGTGAACAGAGCCCAGCTGTGGATTCTGTCAGTGGGGTCAGGTCTTACCTTGTGGCTTCCAGGGCAGCAAGGCAGGAAGGGGGTGTCCGCCGCAAATTCAGCTTCCCGGGGCCAGAGCCGTGAGGGCCCAGGGGACCTGCAGGTCCTGGCTCCACGCCAGATGTATTATTTATGTCTCTGAGGATGTCTGAATCTCAGAACCGAATTACAATAAAAACATCTTTAAACTTATTTCCACCTCATTTTGGGGTTGCCAGCTCAACTGATCATTTTTATGAACTGTCATGAACATTGATGACATTTTATGAGCCTTTTACTTGGGACACTACAGAATAAATTTGTCAGTGAGGCCTGTAGGGAAACCCAGCCGCGGTTCCCCCCACTCCAGTAACGGCTCCTCCTGCCTGCAGCCCCTCCTCCGTCCGCCTGGCCTGGGGAATGCAGGGACCCTCAGCAGCACTGACGGCTGGCAGTCTGGGGTGCCCTAGGAAGAGGCCAGGTCTTCCATCCTGCATAGGCCCTAGAAGGGGCTAGAATGAGTTTCTGAATATCCCAAGGGCGAGATTTCGGTCAGAGGGGAGGGCATGCTGGGGTCCCCGAAGGAGAAGGCGCAGCACGCCTGAGTGGACTAAAGCCCCCGTTTGTGGACCTGACCCTGGTGTCTGGTCAGAGTGGGTGGTAGTCCCTGAACCCAGCGGCCACACTGGCCCCAGGCCGTGTCTGTGTTTCTTTCGGCCTGTCCCTGGGTCCATCTGCCTCTGCAGGCTCCCACAGAACCTGTGCGGGCTCCCACAGGTGCCTCTGTGGCCAGGCCACCTCCATCTGTGTGTTCATTTGCTCCCATCCATTGGTCTCCACCCATCTGTCCGTCTGTCCTTCCATCCCTGTCCCTCTGGCTGGCTGGCTCTGCAGTGACCACCTGCCTTTTGGAGCCCGCAGAGCCCCAGGCCATCCTCCTCTGCCTCAGGAACCAGGGCTGGCAGATGCTCCTCAAGCCATTGTTTGCAGGCGGGGGCTTGGCCCCTCTCTCCTGGGCCCCTGAGCTGGTGGAAAAATGGGCAAGGGCTGGACTGTGTGGTCATCAATGAGGGGCGGTGGCGGGAGGCCCCTGCCTGGGGAGCTGGGGTCACACCTGCCAGGCTCTGGCCTCCCCCTCACCCTCTCCTTCCTGCACCTCCTGCCCCGGCCCTGACTGCTTCTCCCAGCTTCCCCACCTCCTGACCTGCAGCCCGGCCCCACCACAGAGACCCTCAGGGACTTTGTCCCTTGTGCGAAGGAGGGTGCAGAGGGCATTCTGTGGCTCGAGGACCACGCGCTGATGTGCCCCAGGCCAGGTTCCTGCGTCTCCGCTCTGGCACGTCCAGGGCATGTTTCTTTACATAAAACTGGCATAATTGGTTCACTGAGTGGCCAAGTGACCAGAACAGGTTTTCAGGGGCTGGACCAGGCCAGGCTGTGTCAGAGCCTTGGGAATAAACTCCAAGGTAGAGACCAGGAGTGGGGAAGGCGGGTGGCACCCAGTTCCCCACCAGGTGCCACTGCCCAGCCACAGCCCCTCCACCCAGCTGTCAGGCCCTCCCTCACTTTCCTTCTGGGCGCCAGGCTCAGGGCTCACAGCCAGCCCCCACCCTCTGGAGTCTCTGGGAAGCTAGTTCTCCTCCTGCAGGCGTCCCGGGGACACCAGAGGGGGGACCCCTGGGGAGGACTCCACGGCAGCTGTGGCTGCTGCCAGGCCAGCCCTCGGCCCCCACCCCATGCTGAGGCCAGCAGTCCTCTCCTGACACCCCCGCATCGATTAGGATCATGGAAGGGATGAGACTCGCTGCCGATTAATCCCATAAAGTACTTACTCCCACCCAGCTGCCCTCCTGTGTGCCTGGGGGGGGCTTGCGTTCCCACTGGGGGCCGGTGGGGGTGGGGAGAGAGCCGGCATCTGGGTCTCCTGGAAGGCTTGAGAGCCCAGCCCGGGAGTCTTTGGTGCTCGGCTTAGGGGCAGCCCTGGATTAGCCCAGCTCCAGCCAGCCCAGGTCAGGGGGGCTGGGGGCTATTTAACGAGGTTTAGGGTTGGCTCCCAGGTCACTGCACCAGGAGGTTGCTCCGTTACAGGTGGGCAGGGGCTGCGCTGCAGGAATGCTGCTCGGGGAGCGGCGCCTGGACCCTGAGCCCCTTCTCTGCTGACCTGGGGAGAGGCTCACAGAACCGGGAAGGGGTGGAGAGGCGTGCTCCACACAGCTCCTCCCATTGCTCTCTGGGACTCTGTGGATGTGGGATTCGGCTGAATTAGCAAGAAGAGGAGAAACGAGGGAACAAAAGAGTTAAATGCATGTTGATTCCAAGCCCACACCTGCTTGGGGGACCGCGGGAGGTCGGAGCACACAGCCCTGGTGCCTGGTGCAAGCTGCATGTGTCTGCTGGTGCTCTGTGTGCGTGCATCGGCCACAGGACCGTGCTCTGGGCCTCAGTTTCCTCGTGTGCAGAAACCGGGAGTCAGGGAATGGTTGCAAGTTTTCACCGAAATTCATGACCAAGGGGCTGGCGGCTCGCATGTGGCTTGTCCTCTCCTGGGGCCTGTCCTGCGACTGCCCCTGTGCAGACCGGCCTCTTCCCGTGCGGGGTCCCTCTGCCTGGTGGGCCCCTCGACCCCCTTTGAGGCAGGGAGTGAGGTAACAGTGCGATTCCCTCCGGAGGGCGTGAAGGCAGAGCCGCTGGTGCTCCACACAGACGCTCCCTGGAGCAGCAGTGGGGTCCCAGTGCCAGGTTCTGTGTCGCTTTGGCTTGCTCTGTGGGTGTGCACACAGTGGCATCACGGGCCACATGCCGGGGTGTGGGCACAGCCACGCGGCACTCAGAGGTCGTCCCCACGATCACACGCAGAGCTAGGCACTCCCTGTGCCCAGGCTGGGCTCCAGCCTCTCGCAGCTGCCCATGGGGTCAGCCTTTCCCGGTCTCGTTCCGCAGCCAGGACGGCAACCTTCCCACCCTCATATCCAGCATCCACCGCAGCCGCCACCTCGTGATGCCCGAGCATCAGAGCCGCTGTGAATTCCAGAGAGGCAGCCTGGAGATCGGCCTGGGACCTGCAGGTGAGGAGCACAGGGGGCCTGAGGGCGGAGTCGGGGCTGTGGGGCCAGAGGACAGTGGAGTCTCCACTCAGCACCAGCAGCCTTGGCAGGCAGCCAGAGAGGCAGGAGGAGCGGCCTGTCCCCCGGGGCTGCATGTGATGGTAATTGTGTTAATCCCAGCCAGCGGGGCAGACAGGAGGCAGAGGCGGTGGCTCCGCTGTGGCTGCCTCCGCTGTGGCTGCCGCTGGGGTGGGCTTGGAGTGGCCGGGGCCCTGCCACCCCCTCTTCACAGAGCAGATGTAGGCGTGGCCTGAGGTTCAGAAATGCACACCCTGGAGGAATGTGCTCACTCCCAGAGAACCGCGCAGCGCATGCCTGACTGGTCCCGCCTCCTAGGGCTCCGGGAGGAAAGGGGGTCCGGGAGGGAAGGGGTTCTGGGAGGGAAGGGATCCAGTGCCTGAGGGAGGTGCTGCTGCCTGGTCACAGTTGTGGGGGGATAAGGGGAACCTGGCACAGGACCTCAGAGGGAGGGGGCAGTTTGGGGACCCAGGTCCCCCTCAGAGGGCACTGCTGTAGAGAGGGGCACAGCAGAGCCTCAGCCCCAGGGCAGGCTGTGAAAGGAGGGGGTCACCCCTGAGGCCCTGTGGACCCCGGGCAGGAGTGTTCCCAGCAGGGCCTGCATCTCTTGGGAAGGTGGGGTGGGGGAGGCCGCCCCCATCTGTGTCCCCCACCCGTGTTCTGTGCGCCTGGGAATGCCTTTGTGGGACTGGGTGGGGGCAGCTTCTGATGCCTCGTGGAGGACAGCTGAGAGGCGGTTGATAAAATCTAATTGCCCCATCGATTGGCAGAGCTGAGGGAGCCCCACAGTGATTGAGATATTCTGAGCCAGCAGGCCCTCCCTCTGTGCCCTCACACAAGGAGACCTCCTCAGGTACACGCATGTGCGTGTGCAGGCATGTGTGTGTCTGCGGTCCTGTGGGGTGCACATGATGGGGGCTGCCCGGCAGGTCTCACCCACGGAGTCAGGGTGTGTTCATGCACTTCCAGGCTCCTAGGCTCTACAGGGCCCGTGTGTCCTGTAACCCGTGTCCAGGTCTCCCACGCACACTCCGTGTCAGGGCCTGGCCTGCTCCCTGGAGCTTCCTCTTGGAGGGGGCGTTCACCTCTTCTCCCTTCCTGTGACCCCAGGAACCACACATCTATGCTGTTCCCAGCTCGGGCCCTCCCACTGAGCTGCACCTCCCTGGGCCCTGGGCTGTGAGGGACTCAGAGCAGGTCCTGCATCTGCCTCTGTGAGACCACCGGGGTCCACGAGTGAGGAGCGAGCGTGGCCTCATCGGCCTTCCTGCGGTCTCCTGGCAGGCCCCCTTCCCCCGACTCCCCCACCCAGTCACCTCCCCCAGGCTATGAGGAGGCCTTAGCCCCCCACATGAACGGAAAGGGGAGTTTCCACGTGTAAAATGGAAAACTGATGGTCAGGAGGTGAGAGGCCTTGCTAACCCTGAGGGCATGTGCATGGTGGGCCAGGCAGCAGGTGTGGAAAAGGGCCAGGCTCCTCCAGCCTTGGCCCACCCCTCCCAGCCCACCGAGCTCTGGCACGTCCCTGGATCCGTGCGTGGCCAGGTGCCCCCCGCCGCCCACGGGGCCCAGCTGCCCAATCTGTCACTGAGGCGGGGACCCTGGACCAGGCCATGGGACTGACCCTGTCTCTGGGGCCGGGCCTGACAGCGGCCGGGCCAGGATCAATAAGTTATTAGCACCGCTCTGTCAGCTGTAATGTGGGATTGATCGGTGTGGCCGCCGCACTTCCCCAGCCTGATAAAAATGACAGATTAAGGGAATAAGAAAAAAGAATTAGGCCTGGAGCTGACGGCATGGCTTGTGGGGGGACGGGCTTGGGAGCCCCACTGCCTAGGCCTCATGGAGGTCTTGGGTCACAGGGGGGTGGCCCCTCACCCCACCCACCTAGAGGCCTCATGAGGATGAGGAGGGGCCAGAGTTGGAGGCACTGGCTGGCCCGGGAGACCCCCAGGGCGTGGAGTCAGGGGCTTGGGAGGAACTTGGGGTAGGTCGGAGATGGGTACATGGATGGTAATGGGTGTGGTCAGCAGAACCCAAGGGAGGACCTCAGGAGAGTGGGCTGGGCCTGGCCTGGGCCTCCCCCCTGCCACCTGCTGGGCTGGCCTCCTGGCTGAGGAGGTGGGTGAGGCTACTGGGAGGTGCACCCCAAGAGCCCAGAGCCTGGCTGGGCAGGTGGACAGGACGTGACAGCCATACTAGGGTGCTAACTCAGGCAGGACTGGGCCAGAGAGGAGGACTTGGGCCTTCTAGGGGCAGGGATGGGTATGACCAAGTAGGAGGCCTGGGAGTGGAAGGGCCTCAAGGTGGCCTGGGGGGCCCACAGGCCAGTGACTCACAGAGCAGGAAGAGGTCAGGTGTGAGGTCCTTCCCGGCTTGTCCTACCCCACGCTGGCATGTGACCCTGCACAGCCTGCCCTCACCCCTGTCCAGGAGGGGAAGATGCTGCCCAGTCCAATCAAAAGCTTTTTATTCTCCTCCAGGGGGATGACGGGGGGCTCATTAACTGCACAAGAAGCTAGGCTGGCGGGTGGGGCAGCTGGGTGCCTGCTGTAGATCTCTTCTGCACACATGCACCAGCACCAAGGCCAGTGTCAGGGCTCTCCTGGGCCCCTGCCCCACCACAGCCAGGTGTGATGTCCTCTGCGCTGAAGGCTGGGGCTCCCAGGGCTGGGCAGGCCTGTACTCACCAGGACCAAGGGCCTCCTGAGAGATGGTGGGTGCTGTCCAGGCTGAGCTGGAGCAGGGGCTGGGTCCCCTTCCACTCCTTGAGATGCAGGTGGGCACTCACTACCCTCCCGCAGGTGACCTGTTGGGCAAGAGGCTGGGCCGCTCCCCCCATATCAGCAGCGACTGCTCTTCGGAGAAGAGGGCACGAAGCGAATCCCCCCAAGGTAAGAGTGTGTCTCTTACAGGTCACCAGGGGAGGGGGCGGTCCCCGAGGGTCCCTGGACCTCAAGCAGGGGCTCTAGAGGGGGTGTTCCTCGGCAGTGCCTGGAGAAGCCTCTCACCCCGGGTCCTCCCCAGTAGAAGCACTGCTGCTGCCGCCAGAGCTGGGGCCCAACATGGCCCCGGAGGACCACTACCGTCGGCTCGTGTCGGCACTGAGCGAGGCCAGCACCTTTGAGGACCCTCAGCGCCTCTACCACCTGGGCCTCCCCAGCCACGGTGAGGACCCACCCTGGCATGATCCCCCCCAGGAATGAGCCCTCATCACCTCCCCACCTACGTGTGCTCGGCCATTCCTGTTGCTGAGGCTCTGCTGACTCCAAGGTCAGGCTGGGTGCAGGTCCCTGGAGGGACCCTCTGCCACACGACCTGCCCCATACCCCCTGGGGCGGGCGACACCTCCAAGTCGTCCAGGCCCCCAGGCTCATGGGTGACTCACATTTTATATATGGAGAAATGGAGTCTGGGGTGGACCAGGTGAGGGTGGACGGTGGGCATTTCAGCAGCACCCCCTGAGGAGAGCTCCTGGACCCTGTGGTCTGTGAGTTGTCTCTCCAGCCGGGGGACGCTGACCTGCCAGATGCCTGCCCCGGGAGCCTGGGGAGGGGCAGTGAGCAGGACGGCCGGGCTGGGTGCAGTGGGCATTTTGCCACCAGGACTCCCCAAGTGCTGAAGAGACTCCAGCTGGAGGGGCTGCCCCTTCCCTCCGGTCGGCTCTGACCCTGTCCACCCCACCTCATGACGTTCTCCAGGGTCACTCCGGGATGCAGTCGGACCTCCCGCCCGCTGCACTCAGCCTCCCAGGCCCCAGCCGCCCGCCTGGCAGGGCAGCTTGGCTTTTCGGGCTAGAGGTGGGTGGGGGCGCCGGGAAAGGAGGCAGGATTCCTCACACCAGGCACCGTCCCCCAGGACAGCTCAGGCACCAAGAGCCTGAATAATTCACCAAATGTTAATAATTTAAAAATCCTCCTTTTTAATTGCCTGCCCTGCTCTGCCTGGGGCCGCTCTGCTGGCCGCGCGGGGGAGGGGGCGCCGGCCGCCGGGGAGCGCGCTGTCAATCAGGCCGCGCCGCCGCCCCCGCCCCCGCCCCGCCGCGGAGCCGGCTGTAAATAACCCTGGCCGCGAGCGCGGGGGCGCTGGGCCCCGCTGGGATCGATGCGGGCGGCCGCGCCGGCTGGGCTCTGCTGGCTGGCACCCGGCCCGGGGCGGGACCCACCTCCGCTTTCGGGTAATTAATTTATAAACAGGCGGCGGTGGAGCTGGCGGAGCCTGCACAGTGGGGGCTGCGGGGACTCGGGAGGCCCGGGCCTGGGCGGGAGGGGGAGGCCGAGAGACCTGGGAGGCGGCGCCTTACGCGGGCGCTGCGTGCGCATTGGGGCGAGTGTGGCCACGCGGGACAGTGACCCTGCACAGCCGGGACTGGGCGACCCCTGTGCTAGTGCGTGCACGGGCGCTGCCTTGCCGTTGTAACAAGCTCTGGCCAGCCGTGTCTACTATGGGGACCTGAGTTTCTTGCCTCCCACCGAGGAGGGGGGTCCCCTGGGCGGTGAGCCCCTGGCTGGCTCTCCTGGACTCTCTCGCTGCCCCGCAGGCGCTGTGTCCTCGGGAACTCTGCACAGCCCCCTCCCCGCAAGGCTCACCGCCTCTCGGGCCAGCGGCCTCCAGGCTCCCGGCTGCCCTTCGGGCAAGAGCCTTTCCCGACACTTCCCCGCCCAGCATCTTGTCTGCCGCCCCGGCCCTGTGGCCGCCCATCCTCCTGCCCCGTGCCCGAAACCAGCCCGGGGCCGAACGCGGCCGAGTGCTGCGGTTACTTCCCCACCTCCGTGTTCTACGCTAGGACGCGGGCTGGGGAAGGGGGGCGAATAGCCGGGGGGTCACTGCTGTTGTCCCCCACCCAGATCTCCTGAGGGTCCGGCAGGAGGTGGCAGCTTCAGCTCTGAGGGGCCCCAGTGGCCTGGAAGCCCACCTGCCCTCCTCCGCGGCAGGTCAGCGTCGGAAGCAGGGCCTGGCTCAGCACCGGGAGGGCGCCGCCCCAGCTGTCGCCCCGTCCTTCTCGGAGAGGTACTGGGGTGGCTGCCGTTCTCTGCTTGTTTCTGGGGTACGACCCGCACCCCACGCTCTCAGCCACCAGCACGCGCCCCGAGTGTGCCGAGCACTGTGTTCAGGTCTAGGTTCGGGTCCGGGCAGAGCGTTTCGGGGGTGACACCGCTCTGGGCTGCAGTGTTGAGGGCGCCACTGGGGTGCGTGAGAGAGGCTGAGGCCGGTCCGGGAGTTCCCTGGAGGAGAAGCCAGAGAAGGGGAGAGCTCCAAGTCTGGAGCCCCGGGGTCAGTCGGGAGGGGTCGGCCAGAGGACTCAGCTGGAGGCGGAGGGGGTCCTGGCTGGCGCTCAAATTCAGACGCCGGCGCCGGATCTGTTCCCGGCACAGACAAGGCCTCCGGCACAGACCCGGGTTTCTGGGGTCCAGGAGACAAGGCGGGGCGGGGGCGGGGGTCCTGGAGAAGGGACGGGCCGCCTGAAGACCGAGTCCCCGCCCGGCCGCTGAGCCCGGCGTCTGCAGCTGCCTCCACCGCCGCCCGGATTGCGGCTAATGACGCCCCCGCTTCCCCCGCCGCTCGGGTCCGCAGGGGAGGGGAGCAGGCGGGGCCGGCGCCCCGCGCAGTAATTACCGCTGCAGCCGCCGCCGCCCGCCGGGTCAGCGCCTCCGCGCCGCCGCCGAGATTAATTGGCGCCGCCGGCGGGGGCGGGGATGGCGCGCGACCTGGGGCCGTAACGAGCTACGCATCGACCGCCCGCGGGGCCGGCAATTAGCGGAGGCGGCGGGGGAGGGGCGCCGGGGCCTTTACGGGAATGGGGGCGGGGGGGCGCCGCTCATTGCGCTGCCGTCCACAGGGAGCTGCCGCAGCCGCCCCCCTTGCTGTCGCCCCAGAATGCCCCTCACATCGCCCTGGGCCCCCACCTCAGGCCCCCCTTCCTGGGGGTGCCCTCGGCTCTGTGCCAGACCCCAGGTGAGGAGGTGGGTGCGCGTCCCTTGGGATCCCGCGTGGAGTTCCGCGGACCCGTCCCTGCCCCTGTCGGACCGAGACGGACGGGGTAGGGGGCTGCGAAGGGCGGACTCGGACCCCCAACCTCGCGCTGTCCCCCTCCCCACCAGGCTACGGCTTCCTGCCCCCAGCCCAGGCGGAGATGTTCGCCCGGCAGCAGGAGCTCCTGCGGAAGCAAAACCTGGCCCGGTAGGTGCGGGGAGGCGGGCGGGCCCGCGCAGCTCGGGAGGCGGCTGACCCGCGTCTGCCCCCGGCCCAGGCTGGAGCTGCCCGCCGACCTCCTGCGGCAGAAGGAGCTGGAGGGCGTGCGCCCACAGCTGCTGGCGCCCGAGGCCGCCCTGCGCCCCAACGACGGCGCCGAGGAGCTGCAGCGGCGCGGGGCCCTGCTGTTGCTGAACCACGGCGCGGCGCCATTGCTGGCCCTGCCCCCCCAGGGGCCCCCGGGCTCCGGACCCCCCACCCCGTCCCGGGACTCTGCCCGGCGAGCCCCCCGGAAAGGGGGTCCCGGCTCTGCCTCGGCCCGGCCCAGCGAGTCCAAAGAGATGACGGGGGCTAGGCTCTGGGCACAAGATGGCTTGGAGGACGAGCCGCCCAAAGACTCGGACGGAGAGGACCCCGAGGCGGCAGCTGCTGGGTGCCGGGGGCCCACTCCGGGCCAAGCTCCAGCTGGAGGGGCCGGCGCCGAGGGGAAGGGGCTTTTCTCAGGGTCCACACTGCCCCCTCCGCTGCCCCTGGGCTTCCCCTATGCCGTCAGCCCCTACTTTCACACAGGTGGGCACCCCCACACTCTAGATCCTTCCAGAGGCCACAGGACTGGCAGGCCGCCTGTGGAAGGGTCTTGGGGGAGGGGGGCCGTGGGGAGGAAAATCGCACTTAGGCTCCCATCCCGCACCTGAGCAATTGGGGCACACGAAGGTCAGGAGACGGGCGGGTATTGGAAAGCCAGCCAGAGCTCTAGTAACGAGCTCCACAACTTAGGCGCTGTAGGGGGACTCTCCGTGGATGGGGAGGAGGCCCCAGCCCCCGAGGACGTCAGCAAATGGACCGTGGATGATGTCTGCAACTTCGTGGGGGGCCTGTCTGGCTGCGGAGAGTACACTCGGGTAAGGGGGGGCCCATTCCCGGGGTAGGACTGGAGCTGACACTACTTCCCTGGAAAGCATGGCGGGGTAGGGCTATTCCCCGTCCTCTCCCTCCCTAAAAGCAGTGTGTGGCAGGGACAGGACTATGAACCCCACCTTTTTTTGCCAGGTGTCTTCTGCCTGACACCGACTCAAACCCAACAGATGATTAAAAAAAAAAATTCCTGTGAGCTGCACAAACAGCTCTCCTTGGCTTTCCTGGGCTGGAGGATGAAGCAGGCACCCGGGTCCTGACCCACCCTCTCTTCCAGGTCTTCAGGGAGCAGGGGATCGACGGGGAGACCCTTCCACTGCTGACGGAGGAGCACCTGCTGAGCACCATGGGGCTGAAGCTGGGGCCCGCCCTTAAGATCCGGGCCCAGGTGAGCTGCAGGGGAGTGAGGTCAGGCTCTCCAGACCACAGCTGGGCAGAAAGCTCTGGGTGGGTGTGCGCCAGCCCCCACCAGGCCCTCTCTCTGCAGGTGGCCAGGCGCCTGGGCCGAGTCTTCTACATGGCCAGCTTCCCTGTGGCTCTGCCACTGCAGCCACCAACCCTGCGGGCCCCAGAGCGAGAACTCGGCACGGGAGAGCAGCCCTTGTCCCCCAAGACAGCCACGTCCCCCTATGGAGGGGGCCACACCCTTGCTGGTCGAGCTTCACCCAAGCAGGAGAATGGGACTTTGGCTCTACTTCCAGGGGCCCCTGACCCTTCCCAGCCTCTGTGTTGAGGTGGCCGGGGGTACAGGGTGGGGCCACACAAATCTGCAGGAGCCACCACTACAATGGCCCTGCCTCCCACAGCTTTATTTCTTTTGGTTTTGGATGCAAAACAAAAAATTTTGAAGGAAAATGTGACTTCAAAGGAAAGGAGGAAATTTCCAAAGACTTGGGGGAGTGAATGTAGAGCCTGGTGCGGCCGAGGTCTGCAGATGGAGGGCAGAGGTGGTGGAAGGCGCCAGGGGTCTGCAGGCCTCCCCCTGGAACTAGGACTGGTCTAGTCTCCTGACATCAGGGTCATTGTCTCCCCCGCAGAGCTGACTTCAGCCCAGAGCTGTGGGGCTTCAGCAGCCACGCCACCCCAGCACAGCTCTCAGTCCGTTTGGTCTTCCATGCTGAAAAATAAATAAAGCCTGTCCCCTGTCTACTGCCTCCCCCAGCTGCACAGACGCCAGCCTCTGGGCCTGACTGCCAGGGAGGTGGGAACACTGGCCACCAGCACGGCAGCCCCTACAGGCCCCCAGATGGGCTGCCTTAGTCCTCTTCTGAGAGCTGCAGAGCCTCCAGCTCATCCTCCGGCCCCTGGGCCAGCTGCTGCAGCTCCCCAGGGGCCAGCCCCGCCTCTGCGTCTGGGTCTCCATCTGTGGGGAGAGATGGAGGCTACATAAATTCTGCTTTATCAGGAACAAGCCAGCCTTGGAGGTTACTCATCACTAATTAATCATGGCACTAATTAATTTAGCCCTGCCGCTGTTGCTGGCTGCCAGAGCCAGAGAGAATAGAGCATTTGGCCTCCCCAGGGAGGGGAAAGCCTGGCCCCGAGCCCCCGGCTCCGGTTATGCTCTGCCCTCCTGCCAGATGGGATCACAGGGCCACACCCCCTCACCCCAAGACCATTCACCCTCCGAGTCGTCGTCCTCATCCTCTTCTGCTCCATGCCGAGTGCTCAGGGGCCCCAGTGTCTCGTCCTCTTCCACCCCATGCCGAGTGCTCAGGGGCCCCAGTATCCCTGAGGAATAAGGAGCAGAGCCATGTGACTCCCACCCACAGGGTCCAGCAAAGTCACAGCAGGGGCAGGAGGGTGGCCAGGCTTACAACCCTGCCTGGTGCCCGCGCTTCCCTCCACTGACTTCAAGCAGGTGGAGAGGAGCCCTGGGGAGGAACTGGGAGGTCACAGGCCTGGGGACAGGGTTACCAATCCCAGTAGGCCTTCACTTCCAGGAGGGAAGGCACTAGCACCAGAAGCCTGGGAACATGGAGGTTGGCCCCAGCCGGGCCAGAGACTGGTGAGCCCCGCAGGGTGGGTACAGATGGCCCTCGTGGCTCTGGGAAGTCCAGCAGAGCCCTCCAGGCCAACCCTTCCCCTGGAAGCACCACACAGGCCCCACCTCTCTCCGAGAAGCCCTCAGTGTCATCGTCCTCTTCAGAGCTGTTCAGGTCAAAGAGGTCTTTAAATTCCTTCCTGTCCTCATCCTTCCTGTCAGCCACCTTCCTTCGTTTGATCTCAGGGAAGTTCAGGTCTTCCATCTGGAAGGCCAAAGAGTCAGGGGCTCAGGTGGGAAAGGGCAGGGGCTGACGGCCACAGCTGGGCCAGGCATCACCAGACCCACCTCCAAGACTGTGTGGCCAATTTCTAGTCCCCTCTCTGTTCCCCAATCAGCACAAAGTCATCCTCTAGGTTACCCACCCCATGTCCAAGGTCAAAGGCAGAGCCCTTCCTGCTTCTCCCCACCTGCCGGCCGGGGTGGCAACGTCAGTCCAGCCACTCCACCTGCCCAGAGCCCCCAGCCCATCAGGCCTGAGGGGGTGTGGCCTCCCCAACCCAGTGCACCCCGGGCTTCCCCTCTCTGGAAACACCTGGCTCTAGTCAGTTCTGCAACACCTACCCCCTCTCCAGGTTGAATCATCTGGGCACTGCCCTGGCAGCGCAGCCCAGCGCCATGGCCCCGGCCACCTGGCACTGTTTCCAAACCCTCGCCCTGGTCGCAAAGTCTCAAGTCATAGTCCATGAGCTAGATCTGAAAACCCAGCAAGTCACACCACACCCCAGGCCCCTCCCAAGCCGCACCCGCTCTTTTCCACTGATCTCCAGCTGGATCTCCCGGTCACGCAGCTTGCGCCAGTGGCTGTAGTACCAGGTCAGGGGGGTCCCCTCTTCCCGGGTCAGCTTCTCCCAGGCTTCCTGGGGGGTTGGTGGAGTTCAGGGTCATGCCTTACCCTGGGCAAACCCCCACATCCCAGCTACACCCCTGGCAGGTGCCCTCAGGTAGCACTACCCCCCAGGTTCCACTAACCACTGCCTGCTGGTCAGACACGCCAAAGGAAACCCTCTGGCGGCAGCTGCAGATGTGCTCCGAGTTCTCCTGAACCTTCCCAAGCAGCTGCTGCATCTGCCGGCAGTAGTTGGCCACCTTGCACTCCCGGAGGAAGGACTTCAGCTGTGGAAGGGAGGGGTCAGCCACTGAAGCCCAGGGCTGCTCCATGTGCACAGCTGGCCCAGGTCCCGTGCAGAACCACGCGTGGTGGCCACGGGGATACCCCAGGAGGGAACTCAATCTCAGGGCTCAAGTGCATAGGTGTTGCGGCTGGGGTGGCAGAGGCAGAGTCACCCCACCCTCTGGGCCAACGCTGCCCACCGCCACCTCGGGAAATAAAGTTTTATGCCGGGCGCGGTGGCTCACGCCTGTAATCCCAGCACTTTGGGAGGCTGAGGCGGGTGGATCACCTGAGGTCAGGAGTTCAAGACCAGCCTGACCAACATGGCAAAACCCCGTCTCTACTAAAATATCAAAAATAGCCAGGTGTGGTGGTGGGTGCTGGTAAACCCACCTACTCCGGAGGCTGAGGCTGGTGAATTGCTTGAGCCCAGGAGGTGGAGGTTGCAGTGAGCCGAGATCACACCATTACACTCCAGCCTGGGCAACACAGCGAGACTCCATCTCAAAAAATAATAATAATAAAATAGTTTCACTGGTGTGTCCACTGCATGGCTCCTGCAGCTGCCTGTGCAGCTGAACATCTGTGGGAAGCAATGTTCACCATCTGGCTCCTTACCGGAAACATTTTCTGACCCCTATTCCAGACCCAACCCTGGGCCCTGGAGTCCAGAAGCAGAGATGCCCCAATGCCGGGCATCGCCACGCAAGAGGACACGGGAGGAACACAGACTGAGGCCCCTGCTCTGAGTGCCCCCGGAAAGGGGGTCCCGGCTCTGTGCATGTGACACGTGACACGTGTGTGTGACCATGTGTGACTAAGTACACACACACACACACACCCCCCATATCTTGATGAGCCTCTGACCTGTTGTGGCTCAGGTGGGCAGACCCCTCCTCCCCACAAACCTGTAATTGGCACATCTGATTCTAGCCACCAGGGCCAGACATCAGGGCCTCCACCCCTCTCTTTGGGCACAGGCCTCCGAGGCTGGAAACATCAGGGCTGAGAGCAAACAGACCTCCTGTGTGGACCCCGAAGGACCTTCTGAGGACAAGGAGAAGCCCCTCCTCCGCCCTCCTCCGGCCTACGGTGAGGCTGACTTGGGTATTTGGCGAGGCAGGCCGGGCCTTCCAGCCACTGAGAAGCCACTCCACCCACTCCCCACACCCGGGATGGCCTGGGGAAGTGTGCGGTCAGGGCACCAGCCTGAGCCAGGGTCGGCACACTCAGTCCCGACCCCGAAGTGAAGATCAGCCTTGTGGCTCCCCCCTGGGAGGAGGCTGTTGTACTCCCAGGGTCCTCAGCCCGCTGCCCAAGCCTGCCCGCAAACCTGAATGGCTTAGAACCCCTTGTCAGAGTCCCATGGCCCCCAAGGACACCCACAGGCTCCCATTCCCCATCAGCCCCTCCACGGGGGCCCAGGGTGGGGGCTGCCAGCATGGAGCCTCTACACCAGTCGGGCTCTGCCCCGGCCCCAGGTACCCGGGACAAGGACACCTCTACCAGCCCGGGGCAGCCGGGCCCATTATAAGACAGGATGAGTCGGCCACAAGCAGGCATGGGCAGGACACACACCTGCAGGACCACAGGCAGCGCCAGCTCCGGAAAGCCGATGCAGTGTGCCTGACTGTGCAGGTACTCCAGGGTGAGGTCGTACAGCTGCTCCACCAGGCCGTCCTGAGGAGCAGGGGAGAGGACTGAGTGCGTTAGGGAGAAGCAGGGGCTGGCACTCAGTCCCCTCCACTCAGGCTATCAGGTCAGCCTCATCTCCACAGCAGGGACTGCAACACAGGGCCCTGGGCCCCCAGCCCTGAGAGACCATGAAGGTCCATACTTGAACTCGGAGGATGCCAGCCCCTTCCCATTCACCTCAGCACCCCCAACCCCACTCTGGGAACTGCCCAGGCCCCTCCCCAGGAGGCCAGCCTCACCCGGTAGGCCTTCTCCTGAAGGTTGACATTGGACAGCTTCAGGATCACAGAGAAGTTGATGGGCTTGGAGCTCATGCGCCCCGGCTTCTTGTTGAAGTCGACCTGCTGGAACATCTGGCCCGAGGGCCGTGTCAGGCTGTCTTGGCCCTGTGCCTGGTCACCCTGGCTGCACCCTGGTCCCCCGATCCCCTGGGCCCCACGCCTGGTCCCCCGGTCCCCTCGGCCCCGCGCCTGACTGCACCCTGGTCCCCCTTGTCCCCTCAGTCCCGCGCCTGGCTGGACCTAGTCACCCTGGTCCTCAGGCTTCAGCACGAGGAGACCCAAGCTGAGACCAGAGATGGGCAGCTAGGCATGGTCCCAGCCCCGTGGCCCCAATGGCCTGCTGTGTCCCTGAGTGGGGTTCTGGTCAGCAGGGCAGGATCAGGAACACAGGTCCTCTCCCAAAATCCTGGGAAGCACTAAGGACCCGCATCTGGAGACCTAGAGGTCCCTGTCACACAGAGTACAGGACAGCCCCCATTCCTGACAACGTGGCACTGAGGCCTGTCCTGGCCCTCAGCACGGCAGCGCCACACAGGGCTCTGTCCTGAGCAACCAGAGGATGCAGCAGCAACAGTGAGGAGTGCCAAACACAGGAAGAGACGGAGAGAGGCCTGGGGGGCCCCCCTCCCACATCCTCCACAGAAGCCACAGGCTGTGCATCTCCATAGAACATACCAGGAGAAGGAGTCTAGCCCGAGCTCTTAGTCTTGTGACCCCTCCCCAACCACCAGGAGACCCCTCACATAGGGGCCCTCAGGCTGTGAACCATGGAGATTCAGGGTACATGCTGAGGCACCCAGAGGACAGAAGGTTATGGGGGGCCCAAGGGTGGAGGCCGCAGCAAGAGACCCCACTCAGCAGGGGTGGCTGCCAGACAGCTGAGCTCAGGTCCAGATGGAAAAACGCCCTGGTACTGATGAGCCTCTGGGAGGGCACTGCCCTTCTCTAGCCTGGGCCGAAGTATGGGCGGGCGACTGGCTTCCTGCCCAGGCACCGGGGAAGGG